TGGCTTCTGTCTCCTATGAGAGAAGGGCCCCAGAAGCAGGCATGTTTGCTGTCTGCCTCCCAGCAGCCTCCAGTGGGCACGTGCAGCCCTGCACCCCTGAGGTGGGCTCTCTCAGGGCCTCCACTCTGCTCCCAGTGTTCCTTGTGAGCACCCAGTGGAGGCCTGTGGAAAAGATCTGGAAAATGGGCAGCTAGTGGGGATTTCCAGGGATTCTGAACTCTCATGCTAACCCACATTTTCCCTGTAAGAATCTGTCAACATTTCGGTTGCATTCTTTGCTCCTGCTTTTAAGACTGCCACCTCTCCCTGCTGTCACTGCCAAAGGCAAAACAATTCATGTGTCCCATCTCACCTTGGAACGGTTTGCCACCCTCTGGAATTCGGTTCCTCTGGCTGAATTACTATCTCAGATCTCTGATGGGTTTTTAAAAAGTTAAGATTTTATAGATGATCCAGCTTTCTCTTATTGTTAGGGTAGGGACAAGCATTCTCTTGTGGCTATCTGCCTTTTAAGAGGAAGCAGACTGATTTTTCCCCACAAACTGATTTTCTATAAATTAGATTCAGTGAATTGGCCTGCTTTCCTTTCATCCTTCAGTCTTTCTTCCCACTAGCAATGATTTTTAAAGAATTAAACTGGGTCCTATAATCCCCCTATAGCTTCTCATCATTTAGAATAAAATCCAGTTCCTCACTGTGGCCTACAAGTTTCTACTTGCTCTTCCAGCCTCCAGTGATCTGTCCAGGCATTCTCTAACTCACAGCTATTTTCAGTCTAGAAGCACCAGCTTTCTTGCCAGTCTTCAAACACACTACACTGTGCCTGCCCAGAGCTTTCACATGGGTTTTCATGCTGCTTAGAATGCTCGTTCCCCAGATTTTGCATGGCTCACTTTCTGTCTTCATTCAGGCCTCTGCTCAGATGTCATCATCTCCTTAGGGAGAGACCTTCCCTGACAGTTCTACCTGAAATAGCCTCATTTTCCATCCTCTCCCTGCCACCGTCTCTCTCTATTCTCTTTCTCTGCCTTATTTTTCTCTATCACACTTAAAACTATCATTATATTGTGTTTATTTATTTATTTTCCATCTCTTCCACCAGAACATAAATTCCATTAAGGTAGAAGGTCTGTTTGTTCTATTCATTTCTGTATCTCTAGAACATAGTGGGAATGCAATACAAATTGGTGAATGAAATCATGAATGAATGCCAAAGAGCATGAAATTTTCTTCAGTATCTTGCATTAGCTCATTTTCGTAAGAATGCACTCTCTCTGAGGCTGTTCTCTCTCCCTTGTTCTGCCATATTTTGATTATGTTCTTATTCATTTTATAACGAAGTGAATCTGTTTGGCTTCAGCATCTTCATATGTGAAAAGCTCTTATGATTAGGAAAATTCAAGTTCATTCAAAAAGCAGAGAAGTGAAGGGCTTGTCCTTGGGGCTGCTCCCTGTGTACCCTTGGTTCTGTCCTTCTCTTCTCCCAGACCCACAGTTGGCCTACGGGCAGGTGTGTGCCATTGCCAGTCTAATTTCTCCTCCTAGTAGGCTTTCATCCACGCATTTCCTTTTCTGCTCTACTGTCGTGGGTTCTTCCCCCTGTTTCCAAGGCTCCCATTCCCAAGGTAGTCAGGGCCAATGTATGCTTCACCAGTAAGGAGCCCTGCATTTCAGAGAACTAGAGTTCTCGTTCTGCCCTCCTGGGTGTCTTGCTGTGGCTGCTATTGCTGTTGCTGTTGTTTTAATAATTTTTTACTCTATACTGCATTTGGAAGAGATGGTGATGGGAAGGAAGTTGATGGAAAGGAATTGGTCAGTGCTATACCTGCCTCAAGAAGCAGCACACGAGGTGGGTGTATGATGGGGTGCCCACTTTTCTGTTGGTTCTAGGGGTCCATATCTAGAAAGAGAAGCAATGAAGCCACTGTGCATTTTCCTATCTTTTATCAGGTAGTTATTTTTCATGAAACTGGAGTTTACTATATCTCTGGGTAGTCTGTTTTTGTTTTGTTTAAATCATAACTTAAATCATAACTTTATTATAATTAAGATTCATTTATGCCTGACCTGACATACAGCAGATCTTCCGTATGCTCGCGACTTCGTATGCTTTTCTACATTATCTTTTGTGAGGCTACCTTAAGGAATGCTAGCCAGATCCCATTTTGAATGAGACCTCCTGCACTATTTTCCAAGTGTACATAGAAGCTCTTATGATTAGGAAATTCAAGTTCATTCAAAATGCTACTGAATCTGAAGTAGCGTTTTGACATTACTTAGCTTTAAATCAATAGGTATTAAAATTATAGCTACTGTGTCACTGTGGCCTCCAATTTTTTCTTCTGATTTAAAAAATATATACTAAAACAAGCTCTCATAATCCAAACAGTATGTTATCATTCTTTCATAGCACTATACGAAAGACCTTATCCTGATAGGAAACATTTAGTTTCCTATCATTCAGAAACCATCTGTCCCATTTATAAACTACTAGTTTAAATAATAATTCTAGATTGGAGAATGGAGGCATTTTTAAAAACATAAAGAAGTATTATAAGCCACGTTAATTATTCTGAAGGAAATCTGAAGAATAGAATAATAGCTGCCTTGATTTAGTTACTCTTCCATGTTATCTGAGAAAAGTTCATTAAAACACATTTTGACACTTTTAATCCACTGGAACGTTATTGGGAAAATCATTCTGAGAGTTCTGAGAATGTTGACTAATTGGGCTGTTTGTCCCACATGGGATTACACCACTTTCTGAATCAGAAGTTCCTGCTATTGCAACATGTTTTATTCTTTATTCTTTGTTTTTCTTTTTCCCCTTAGAAACAGTCCATTTGGGTTCGTTACATGGCCATTTGTGAGTTTGGGGCATTGTACTTGTTTGTAATTACAATGAAGTCATACTAGGCAGGGTCTGTGTGTAAGTCAACAAGAGATCCTGCAGCTGCTCAGTGAATCAGCCAGTGAAGAGAGTCACCCTGATGTTTTAAACCCGAAATCCTGCTTTCCCAGAGTCATGGGGAATTTTTATTTTAGCCATCAAGAAGATTGGTTCAACTTTGGTTTGCTTACTACATGCTGTGCATAGATATCAATCTGCTGAACTTTTTATTTAACTTTTTTTTTTTTTTGAGACAGAATCTTGCTTTGTCACCCAGGCTGGAGTGCAGTGATGCAATCATAGCTCACTGCAGCCTCTAACTCGTGGGCTCAAGCGATCCTCCTGCCTCAGCCTCCTGACTAGGTAGAACTACAGGTGTGTGCCACCATGCCTAGCTAATTTTTTAAATTATTTTTTAGTAGAGTCGGGGTCTTGCTTTGTTGCCCAGGCTGGTCTCAAACTCCTGGCCTCAAGCAATTCTCCCAACCTTGGCCTCCTGAACTGCTGGGATTACAGGCATGAGCCACCGTGCCCAGCCTTTTTAAACTTTTCATTGAAATGTAATATCCTCAGAGAAAGTGCACAAATCCTAAAGTGTATAACAAGGTGAACTTTTGCAAACTGAGCACACCTGTGTAACTACTACCCAGATCAGGAAACAGAACATGACAAGCACCCCAGAATCTTTCCTGTATCCCTCCATCTTGTCACTGACTCTCCTCACCAAGGGTAACCACTCTCCTGTTTTGCTTGTTTTTATACTTTATATAAACAGAATTATACACAATGTGTCATTTTGTATCTGGCTTCTTTCATTCTTCATTATGTTTATGAGATTCATCCTTATCATGTATTGTGTTCATTTTTTCCATTCTTACTGTTGTGCAGTGTTCCATTGATGAATACATACATTTTTTTCATTCTGCGGTTAACAGGCATTTGAATGGTGCCCTTTTGGAGGGAGAGTGAGGACTATTATGAATATTGTTTTTTAAAAAATGAATTTATTTATTTTCAGAGATGTGGTCATACTGTGCTGCACATGTTGGTCTTAAACTCCTGACCTCAAGCAATCCTTCCACCTCAGCCTCTATTATGAGTATTTTGTTATGAACATTCTAGTGCATTTCTTTTGGTTAAAGTACATACACACGCTACATTCCTGTTGGATATATAGCTAGGAGTGGAATTTCTGGGTCACAGGGTATGTGTACGTTCTGATTTAATAGATAAGCTGGTTTTTCAGAGTGGCTGTGTGTATCTACACTCACACCGGCAATGTACAAGCGTTCCAGATGCTCTACCTCCTCACCAATATCTGGCATTTTCTGTCTTTTTCATTTTAGCTGTTCTGGTGGATATGTATTGAATGTGGTTCAATTTATATTTCCTTGATGATAATGAACCTGAGTACTCTGAGATATACAAAGAAATTTGTATATCTTTCTTTGTGAATTTTCTGTTCAAAT